GAGAAGACGAGGCGAGAGATAAGAGAGGGAGGAGAGAGAGAGAGAGAGAGAGACAGAGAGGAGAGGACAGAGGCGAGAGACAGAGAGGGAGGGAGAGGGAGGAGAGAGAGAGAGGGAGAGAGGGGCGAGAGAGAGGGAGAGAGGAGGAGAGAGAGCGAGAGATAGCGAGAGAGAGCGAGGATAGAGAGCTGAGAGAGAGAGAGAGAGAGAGAGAGAGGAGAGGAGGAGAGAGGTAGAGAGAGATCGCGAGAGAGAGAGAGAAGAGAGAGAGAGGGGAGAGAGAGAGCAGAGAGAGAGATAGAGAGAGTAGTAGAGAGCGATAGTACAGAGAGAGAGAGACAGGGAGAGAGAGAGAGAGAGAGAGGAGAGATGAGAAGAGGGAGAGAGAGAGGAGAGACATGGGAGAGCGATAGAGAGAGAGAGAGAGGGAGGGAGAGAGAGAGACGGGATGAGAGAGGAGAAGAGAGAGAGAGAGATATAGAGAGAGAGAGAGAGAGAGAGACCAGGCGAGAGAGAGTAGAGAGAGAGGAGCATGAGAAGCGAGAGAGAGAGAGAGAGAGAGAGAGAGGGAGGTAGAGAGAGAGGGGAGAGCGAGAGAGAGAGAGCAGAGGGAGGACGAGAGATTCGAGGGAGAGAGAGAGAGAGAGGGGAGAGAGAGACAGGAGAGAGAGACAGGGGGGGGAAGGGAGGAGAGACAGAGAGAGAGACAGAAGGGAGGGAGAGGCGAAGCAAGAGAAGAGGGAGAGAGAGGGTAGAGAGAGGGAGAGGAGAGGGGAGCGAGAGCGAGAGAGAGAGAGGGAGCGATAGACGAGAGTAGAGAAGAGATATGAGAGAGAAGAGATAGATAGACGGGAGAGCGAGAGAGAGAGAGAGAGAGAGAATGAAATAGAGAGAGGGAGAGAGCGGGAGATAGAGGGAGAGAGAGGAGGAGAGAGGGAGAGAGAGGGAGTTTTCTGAGAGAGAGGCAGAGAAGGAGGGAGAGAGAGGAGAGATGATGAGAGGGGAATGGAGAGAGAGAGAGGGGGAGGGGAGAGGGAGAGAGAGGGGGAGAGAGAGATAGTAGGAGAGAGGGAGGGAGGGAGGGAGGGAGGGAGGAGGAGGGAGGGATGGGGGGGGAGGGGGGGGGGAGGGGGGAGGGAGGGTGGAGGGAGGGGGGAGGGAGGGAGGGAGGGATGGAGGGAGGGAGGGAGGGATGGATGGAGGGAGAGGGAGGGGGAGGGAGGGGAGGGAGGGGGTGGAGGGGGGGGAGGGGGGGGGGGAGGGGGGGAGGGAGGGGGGGAGGGGGGGAGGGAGGGATGAGGGAGGGAGGGGAGCGGAGGAGGGGAGGGAGGGAGGGAGGCAGGGAGGGATGGAGGAGAGAGAGAGAGAGAGATAGAGAAGGAAGAGAAGAGAGATAGATATAGACAGAGAGAGAGACGAGAGATAGAGAGAGAGAGAGAGCTGGAGAGGAGGCGAGAGAGAGAGAGAGAGCGGAGAGAGGAGAGAGAGATGATGGAGAGAGAGATGAGGAGAGGAGAGAGGGAGAGAATGAGAAGCGAGAGAGAGAGATGGAGAGAAGAGAGAGTACTGGAGTAGAGAGTCGAGAGGAGAGAGAGAGAGTAGTAGAGAGAGGGAGAAGAGACCGATGAGAGACAGATAGACGAGAAGAGAGCAGAGAGATAGAGCAGAGATAGAGAGGATAGCGAATAGAGAGAGAGAGGGAGAGAGGGCGGGGAGAGGGATGGGAGGGGAGGCGAGTAGACAGAGAGAAGAGGAGAGAGAGAGAGAGAGGGAGAGAGCGAGACAGGAAGATACAGACAGATTGAGACAGAGAGGAGTAGACATGAGGAAGAGAATAGAGAGATAAGAAGAGAGAGAGATGAGAGAGAGAGAGAGGATAGAGGAGAGATCAGAGAGAGAAGACCTATAGACAGATGAGGACAGACCTAGACAGCGATATTCGAGCGACAGAGAGACAGTGGATACATAGAGACAGAGAATACATAAGAAGATATACATAGTGGATAATATATAGAGATATATATATATATATAAGTATATATAATACATATTAGACAGTAGACATATATACATATATAACTAGAGACATATTAATATATACAGTATATACTAGATAGTAAGATATAGATATAAGAGGATACGAATATAGCATTAGTATATGATATAATATATGTAGAAGAGGTATGTATGGATGTATTGTATATATGATATATATATGATAAAGAGATGATATATAGAGATATATATATCTAGATATTATAGAGCGAGATATGTATGTAGTGGAGAGATGTATATATGGTTTACTATATATGTATATAAATATATATAGATAGATAGAGATAGATAGATATGTATATAGATGTATATATATATATGTATATATAGCATATATATATATATATTATATATACATATATATATACACTAATATATATACATATATACATATATACATATACTACATATATTACATATTACATACATACATACATACATACAT